CGATTTTTTCGAAATTTCTACTAGCGTCAGTCAACATAATGTGCCAAATAATATCCAAAGTATGTTGGTGTACAAAAAACGGAAATATGTCTATCACTTCCATAAAGATGCGAAACAACTAAAAATGTACATAACATACTAAACTTTTATGTGTGTGAGACTGCATAACTTTTTTATTTTGCAACATCTAGCTTTATAGTTGGGCTCATCATGAGCAGCAGACCTTATTGATGAAAATTTGATCAGTTGCGATAATAAATTGGTGCGACATATTGTTAAATTATCAAACATGACTATAGGTCATAAGGTTGTTGGATTTTATTGGAAATAGACGTTGCTACAATTTGACATTTATATGACAAATTTACCGGTTCTCAAATTTTCTGAAATTTTCACTATCATATCTCAACATAATGCACCAAATAATGTTAAAAGATTTTTGGTGTACAAGAACCGGAAATTGGTTTTTAGTTCCGTAAAACAATTGATATAGCAAAAAAGTAAATGAAAATACCAACATTTTTAGAGTTTAAGATTTTATAACTTTTTTATTATGCAATGTTTTTTTACATATTTGAATTCATAATTTGCAGCAGATCCTACTTTAAATAAAATGATATTATTTGATAGCGTAAAACATTGTTTTGATAGTTTTTTGCACAAAAAAGTGAACCCTGTCGTACACCTTTGGAAGGCGGCACTAAATAGTTCATAGCACAGGCCCTGGGGACCTTTTTAAGTTTTTAAAATTATCTCATGGGTCGTGTCTTAGGGAGCTACAAATATAACCCAGTAATGGTTAAATTGCTTTGTGGGCAAAATTCTTTTGTTCCTGTAACAGGTCCTTTAACCCATTACATGATGCAGTCCCAAACTCTATCCTTGGAAGAACAAAGAGTGGCTGGATGGACACAGAGGTATTTTTTATGTGGTTGGCAAATCACTTTGTGACAGCCATCCCGGATCTAGCTCGACCAGTTGTCCTGCTTGTTGATAGCCACTCAACACATATTGACCTTCAGACTACCAGATTTTGCAGAGAAAACAAGATAATTCTCTATTGCCTACCAGCCTATGCCAGCCACATCATTCAGCCCCTTGATGTGTCCTTTTTTGGACCCCTCAAACTGAATTGGAGAAAGGCCTGCAAATCATACAAGGACAACAATCCTGGCCTAACCATTACGAAAATGTTTTTTGCGAAGGTGTTTCATGAAGCCTGGGTGGCCTATAACAAAGCGGAAACGATGATGAATGGCTTCCGCCAATCAGGATTGTATCTCTTCAATCCATTCATCATTGATGAAGGCAAGTTCTCCCCATCACTCCTCTTTGTGGAACCACCAAACAATGTTGCTACTGATGAAGCATGGAACGTTGCAGATGCTCCTGGCCTTGAAGCTGTCCCTGCCACCATCACATCAGCTGTCCCTGTCACCATCACATCAGCGGTCCCCGCCACCATCAATTCAGCTGTCCCTGCCACCATCACATCAGCTGTCCCTGCCACCATCAATTCAGCGGTCCCCACCACCATCACATCAGCTGTCCCTGCCACCATCAATTCAGCGGTCCCCGCCACCATCAATTCAGCTATCACTGCCACAATCAATTCAGCTGTCCCTGCCACCTTCACTTCACCTGTCCCTGCTGCTCTTCCTCTTTCTGTCACTCTTCCTGTAACTGGTACTGCCACTGACCCTGTCAGGTGTATCAGAATGTGTTCTGGAGATGTCGGACGAGGAGGCAGCTAACATTCTCGCTGAAATAAAAAAAAATGTTCATGTGAATCAATTAACACCGTTATCAGCACAGACATGTGGTAAACCACTAACTCTGCATGACATTTCTCCCATATTTGAAGGTATAATAACATATCCAACAACATCAAAACAAAAGCCAAGACGAAAACCGTAAATTCCAAAAGCTCTCTGCAGCATTCAAATGCAATTATTTCTGGAAAACAAGGAAAATGAGAAAGAAAAAAAAAGTAATTGAAAAGGAAATGAGAAAGCAACAAAGAGAGGAAAAGAGAAAACAAAAAGAGGAAAAACCAACTGAAACGAAAAGCAGACAAGACACCAGCAACAAATAAATGTACCATGTTGGTTATAGAATGTGAAATAACTATTTAGAGGTTGTTTACCAATATTGAATAACTCCAATGTGTAATTACCAATCCATTATGATGGCTTGGTGGGTAATCAGTTGCATGATAGATATACAATTCTTATAATCAAATGTATTGGACAACAAATATTCTAAACAGTAAACTTTTTATAGGTTTTCGTTTAGAATATTGATCGTCCAATAAATTGTACTTTCAAAACTTTGTTTCTGTATAAGTCATGCAGGTATGTGAGTAAGACACCTGTGTCAGGTCCAGTACACTCTACTGATTGAGCTATAAAGACCTAACATAAAAAATATATTCAAGTTAATCCTTAAAGAAAATGTAAATTGACCTATCAATGAAGACTTACAGTGAACACGAGGTTTTATTTCAGTGTTCTGAACACACTAATTTTGATTCACAAACCACCTCAAGTGCCTGCCGGGACAGTCCCGTCAGACCGAATGAAAATGAACATCTCTCGATACACATTGGTTATTATCGATAGGTCAATTGTTAAAACTCATCTTCATCTTCATATAAAGTGATGTATGATGATTTAAAACAACATCAGCTGTTATTTTAATGTAGTTTTTAAAAAAGCATTTTGTGGTCGAATACTGGGTCGTGTGGTCGGAAACCGCAACACGCGCTTCCGGTACGTTCGATAAGGACAGCGTCTAACAGCAACCCGAAACGAAGCTCAAAACATTACGACAGACCGATATTCATAGGGCGGACTTGATTGCACTACACCGTTTACACTGCTACCCTTTTGTACGTCACTACACCACAGCCTAACAATCAAGTCTTCCGGTGTCAAATCAACATGGCGGACATTGCGAAAATGATGGTAGTCGACGATTTGTTAAATGACGACGACCTATATTCGCTGCTCCCGTTAGCCTTTGGAGCCTTCCCTGTAGCATATGTTGCAGCGATGAGGTATTTGAATTATTATACTTTTCATCAATTGCCTACATTCAACAGAATGCAGTATTATATTGAAGTGAACCTAGTTTCGTTTTGAAGTGAACCTAGTTTCGATTTATCCGCAGGGGTTCGTTACAAATGTCTGAAATACACATGTGTGCCGCGACCCATTTCAGTACAGCATACATTCAAACGGTCCCTTGTGATTTATCGAAAGTCGGTTTGAGAACGTTTTATAAACTCGTCCAAATTAACCAGCACTAAATAAATTATGAATACAAATAAAGGATTCTGTTTGTTCTACGTTATATGTGACAGTGACAAACTTCACAAAGAACAATTTAAGTCAATAATTGTTGTGTGCTCGTGTGATCAAACTGCTCAAACATAGTGATACATAACGATGATATATATGTGAACTTTTTAGACTATATCTTATCAGAGAAGTGAGAGAAGAAAATCACTGAAGTGGGTTTTTTTTGGTAAAAGTTTGAAGTACGCTTTTTAGTATTTACAATTATTTTTCGTTACAGGGCTCGATGCGACAAAATGAAGGTTTTCGGGTATTATGAGGAAGTTGTTCCCCTGTACCAGATTGACAATTTTAAGACATTCTTTCGTGTACAAAGGGACACATTTGAGTTCCTTTGTCAACAAATTGGAGAAAAGCTCCAATACAACAACCATGGTGGAAGGATTTCAATTTCACCTGAAAAGCAGCTATGTATAACTTTATGGTACATGGGATCACAGTCAAACATCCATGATATTGCAGATAGATTTGGTGTAACTGACTTTTCTGTGTTAAGATGCAGGGATAGAGTATGCAAAGTATTTCTTTCAAGAAAATCCCAGATTATACGCCGACCGAGGCGAGATCAGTTGGAGGAAATGTCACAAAACTTTGAAAGCAAGAAAGGATTTCCTAAATCAATAGGTGCTATAGACGGAACACATATCAGAATTTCTGCACCAGGAGATAATCCAGAGGAGTATTATAACCGTAAGGGATTTCACTCTTTACAGCTTCAGGCTGTGTGCAATGCTGAAATGAAGTTCTGGGACACCTATGTAGGTTGGCCAGGGTCGGTACATGATGCGAGAGTTCTTCGAAATTCAGATTTGTGGACGAAAGGGATCGCTCTATGTGGAGAATATCACATAATTGGAGACTCTGCATATCCTCTGAAAAGATGGCTCATGACCCCGTACAGGCGTGTTGGAATACTATCAGAGAGACGGGTGAATTTTAACAAATGCATCTCAGGAACACGTGTGGTCATTGAACGTGCCTTCGGTTTATTGAAGAGACGTTTCCGCAGACTCCAATTCGTTAATGTTGTAAGCGTTTCAACAGCTTGCAAAATTATCACTGTTTGCTGTATTCTACATAATATATGTTTAGATCAAGGTGACAATATGGAGTACTTGTTTGAAGAAGAAGAAGAAGAGGTTTTTTGTTTGCCACCTGGACTTGAAAATGCTGCTGAAGGGGCATTGAAAAGAGAAATGTTGGCACGAGATCTCATGTAAACACATGTTAACACTCCAAATGGATGAAATTAAAGTGTCTTCAATTAATGAAAACAAAATGCATGTTGTTAAGTTTTAATTCAAGTTTTATTTAAAACAAGAGGCCCAGAGGGCCTGTATCGCTCACCTGTTTCTTTTGTTACATGAAACTGACATATAGGTAACTTAAGACCAAATTTAGTAACTAAAACACAAGAAATTTTAACATCTATTAACGGTTCTGAAGATATTGTTGTTTGAAACTTGAAATTTTAATTTTAAAGAACTTGAAATTTTAATTTTAAAGCTTTTAACCCATATAGACCCTTGACTCCCGACTTGCACTTAAAGTTGACCTCTGACCTCATTACTGTAATTAAAAAAAATGTTTGCACTGCTGGTCTACATAATATACCCAAGCATCATGACTAGTTCAAATGGTTCTTAGGATATTGTTGTTTGAAATTTTAACATATTTGACCGTTGTGACCTTGAAAGTAGGTCAAGGTCATTTTAATGAGGAAACTTAATAGCACTCCATCCCATGTACATACTGGCCAAATATCATGACCCTGGGCCTTATGGAACTTGAGAAGAAGATTGTTAAAGCTTTTAACCAAAGTTGACCTTTGACCTCATTATTGTAATTTAGAAAAATATTCGCACTGCTGGTCTACATAACATACCCAAGTATCATGAATCTAATTCAAATGGTTCTTAGGATATTGTTGTTTGAAAATTTTCGACCGCTGTGACCTTGAAAGTCAGGTCATTTTAATGAGGAAACTTTATAGCACTCCATCCCAGGTACCTACTGGCCAAATATCATATACAGTTCTTCAGAAGAAATGAAATCAACTGAAAAAGTTGACGGACGGACGACAGACGGACGACGCAGTACGGCATAAGCTCACATGGCCCTTCTGGCCAGGTGAGCTAAAAATGAAAATAGAGAATCACAGGTTTTTCATGAGTATTCAACAAAATAAAACTTGTTTCTTGAGAATTCAACAAAAATAAAACTTGTTTCCTGAGAATTCAACAAAATATAACTTAAAAAATATAACAACCCGTCAGCTCCTTCAAATCAAGTAAAAGTCATAGTAAGCAATGTTTATATGCATTAACTCATTTGTATGTTTCTCCATTTGTATTTCAGTTTAGTTCACAAGTCAGCATCAATGTCACTGAGGTAGAGAATAGAGAATCACAGGTTTTTCATGAGTATTCAACAAAATAAAACTTGTTTCTTGAGAATTCAACAAAAATAAAACTTGTTTCCTGAGAATTCAACAAAATATAACTTAAAAAATATAACAACCCGTCAGCTCCTTCAAATCAAGTAAAAGTCATAGTAAGCAATGTTTATATGCATTAACTCATTTGTATGTTTCTCCATTTGTATTTCAGTTTAGTTCACAAGTCATCATCAAGGTCACTAAGGTCAAGAAGTTTGAAACTCTGTTTGCAAAACATTTCCATGAACATATTCATCTTTTCTTTGTTGCATTGAATCAACAATTGTTCCAATTCTCTTATCATTTTTCTCTGATTCTTCATTTATTAATTGTTTTATCTCGTCCATGGAAGATTTATTGTTGCTACTTTTTTTCTTTTTTTTCTTTGGGGCTTCTTCTTCCTTTGAGGCAGATTCATCTACTGAAGATATTCTACAAGATGGGGTGATATTAGGAGCATTTCCCATCATTTCATCAAGCTCCTCCTGATAAGGATGGGTTTTACGTGCTGCCGCTGTCCTGTTGTTGTTGTCCTTGACATTTTTATATCCCCTCAATATTGATTTGTGCCGGTTAGATACCTGTTCCTCAGTTAAACACAGCTGCATTTTTGTATTGAGTGTATCTCTACATTCTCTTCTTCGTCATTTTTCCGGCTCTTACTAGCTGGTCTTTCTCTTTGACCTGGTCAAGTAGTATCGATGTCGATTGTCTGGACCAAATGAACTTTATAGCACCAGTGTCTGTTGGGTTCTCTTCTGCAATATGCAAGAAATATGCACATGTTAGTAATTTAAAATTTATCCAATCATTTCTGATTTTACATAAACATTTTCTTTAGATAAAACAAGTGTATCAATCGCATCTGGGGCCTAAAAAGTCCTACAAACAACACAAATATTTGTAAGGTCAAAGTAGTAATCACTCTAAATGTGGCTGAATCCATAAACAAATTGTGAGAATAAAGAATGAGGACAGACAGACATTCTTTATTTCCTCTTTTACGAAAGATTAAGTATCAGTTTTTGTAATAATCAGAACCAAAATCACATACCAAGTGCATCAGGTTGAGGAAAGTAATCTTCAGTGTCTATGTTCTGGTCAGATCCTTTACCTGCAAAAGAAGCATGTTTAATTTACCTTGTATTCACAATTTTCATCCACACAAAGTGCTAGCTAGTTGATCAGCAATGAAAATAAGTGTAAACCCAACTACCGTTACATCTAGTACATATTTAATTTTATATTATTAAATATACTTGAGAAATCTGAAGGATTTGCTGCCTTTTTTAGAAGACTTCTTGTAATGATAGGTTTGGCAGCATGATCTGGAGAAAAAAAAACACAGTTGAAAATTTAGCAATTAAAATCTAGTATATAGTTTAGGAAATATATCTACTAGGTACTGGTAGGTACACTCTTGATGGAATGGAAAGTTACAGACATCTATATTTCAAATTTGTGATGTTATTTAATATAAAAGATTTAAAATGCAAACACATTGTACATTTGTATATGTTAATACATGTATTATAAATACACCCCAGTATAAATACTGAAGCATAAAAAAACACCAGCTTTTTGAAGAAAGGTCTTTACAGAATTTCCATCTTGGTAATGACAACATACCTGTGTTGGTATTAAGGAGTAGGTCTCCTGTTTCCTTGCTACATGTTGTTTCTTTTGTGACATTTCCCGTTAGTTTGAATACAACTCTGTATTCTCCTGAGCTACAATAAATCAAACCATAAAAAAATATTTTATTGCATTGATGTAATATCAACTCAAACCGGACAACAAACTTAAATTTTGTATTCACAAGTATAATTTTGTTCAAATACTTTATTGACGAATATGTACAAAGGTCAAGAATGAGAATACCTCTGACATCTATGTGTTTTATGATTTCGAGGTTGAAGCCACTGTCACTTACTGTATATAGAATATTATCTACTAATTCAGTGTTATCAGTCTACTAACTTTATTTCCTGATGGATTTTAATCAAACTTTTGTGTTTCAGGTTTCGAAAGGTCAAGGTCACTGTTGCTATCAGTGTTTTTGTTACTTTAATGTTACTACATTCTGTTTCTTTATGAATTGGGAAAATATAGCAGTATTTGTTTTGAAATTTGGAATATAATCTTCAGTTTTTGGTCACTTTGGGGGAAAAAGCACCTTTTAGCAAAGGGAAACAGCCTTTATTCGGCAGTAAAACTGAGCAAAAAATCACTGGCTATATAAGGGAGGTCATCAGATAACTAAATTGTCATCACTCTAGCTATAGGTTTTTCGTTTCTTAACATATTTTGATCAAAGTCTATAAAGATTTCAGGTATGAGAACACATTGGACGAGTTCATGTTTTGAAGGTCACTGTGTGTAGCCTTTCATAGAAAGTTTTTATCTATATTTCTCTATTTATCAACTTGAAGTATGATCATATCTGAAAGTGTACATATTTCAGGGTGTCAAGCTCAAATTTTATTGTTACCCTATTTATAGAACATTATATATAAAAAAAACACTGAAATATACTTCATATGGCAGCTGGCATTCATGTCTTACAGACATTTTCCAGTTTTGTATTATCATTTGATTTCTGGGTGTTTACCTTTCTATTTGTGAAAGTTCCAACATCATTGGTCCAGGATCAGCCATCGTATGCTCCTAGTTAGTTAAAAAGGGCAATTAATAAACGGCATGAAAAGCAATGTCAAAAGGTGTTGCTTACTGATTTTGTAATTAAAATTGTTCAGTAAGCTACCAAATCTACAATGTCTATTAAAAGGTAATGAATTATGATGCTTTGCAAACATAGAGGTACAAGGATGCAAATAATAAAAATGTCTTGGTAGATATCAACATTATAACAGCAATGGAATAACAGACATTTTTTTCCGAATCATGTAGATATACCAACACAATGTAAAGTCCACAATTAGTCAATACCTTTTGTAGCGCAGGGGGTGCAAAAAGTTCCTTTTACTTCCCCCGTTACATGCAACTCCAGTTCGTAATCAGCGCAGTCAGCATGGAAACACAACTTGCAACTTGGACAACGCAGGTATATCCTGTAATAATTAAAAATGTGCTCCGGCCTATACGGCCCTTGTTGGGCCGCCTGCGGCGGTGCACCTCGCTGCGCTCGGCAAACACATTTACCGGGAACGCGCCCCCCCGTTCAAAAAATCCTGTATCCGCCCCTGATATGAATGTATATGTAACTAAGGGCCGCTTTCGTTTATCGCGATCCAAAAAGTTGAACCGGTTCAGAATTGTTCGTTTATGAAATAAGGTTGGGCCTAGTAATCCGATGCTGTTTTCAGTTGAGCCTTGCAAGGCCTGCAACTATTAGATTTAGAAACAGACGAGCCGGTTGTTCCGCATAAACAAAGAGACCCCTGCTGGAGTTAAAGGTGACAGTTTAATATCGTTTGGTTTGTTCCCATGTAGGTACAACAATGCCATCTAGGATGGCCAAATTGGTACAAATACAATACAAATAGCCGCACACATAGTCCACTTTACCAAGAATATGCCAATTTTAGTCTTTTTTAAATTTTCATTCACATAATAGACACAAATTACAATATAAGTTGAAAATATCAGCCTTGTCCGTGGTAGAGTACGTTACTATATATTGCTACCATGTGAGTGACACTTTTCGAGGCACCCAACTTCCGTGACGCGCAAGCCCCACGTCACTAGAGTAAATATAATGCTCTTTTAGCTCTATTGCATGTCGTTGGCCTTGCGTAGCTGCAGCTTAATCGTCACCCGACAAGCCAAGTACCGGATGTTGCGTCATCTTCAGTCAGGTACGACGTCAAACAGTCTAGCGCGTCAAATTGTACACAAAGTAGTCCATGGCATACATCATGTTAGGCGTGATGTAATGGAAGGATATCGCTGTGCGACTGCAACCCTGGAAAGAAAATATTAAAAAAAAGAGGTACCGAGAATAAACTTTATTTAATTATATTATCCATACAAGTGTGGCATATATTAATTGACTTAACATTCGGTCGCCTTTTACTTTCGCGCATCCTCGATATCAAGGGGTTACGCTCACTTTCGCTCTCTGTAGTGTAGAGCGCGAAAGTGAGCGTAACCCCTGGATATCGAGGATGACTTTCGAGCTAGGGGAATTTCCCTTTATTTAATAAGCTCACACACGCAGTAGAGCATCCGACTAGAAAGTCTGGGTTCGCGGGTTCGATCCCCGGTGGAAGCACGTTACACTACCATCTTTCCTGTTACACAAGTATAATTTTCTTTTGCCTTTTCCCTCAATGTTAGACTTTTTCATGTTATATCGTATAACCTAAAAATCAGACACAGCAAAAAATGATGACGTCATATACCCAAATGTTTGGCGCGGTATTTGTAATTTGTGCAAAGTGCAAACAGTTTTTTCGGTATATATACTGTATAAACCCAGAGATGTTTGGGCGGGCTTCAAATAGGCAAAAATTCTGCATTGTAAACTTGAAAGAGAGTGTAAGAGCCAATAACATTCTAAATATGAACCAGAGCGCTTCTACATTTAACACTTTCAGCGCTAGCACAGGGCCTTAAGCTTCCTCCGTTGACGTCGCGAGCAATATACAGACATAAGCTTTCAAACAAATATTTTCAAAATGCACTGATCCGTTTCTGCCAGTAAAATGAAGTAAATACAAGATTCCATATATTTCTTTACTTGTATTTTACCAGCTATATACGCGCCCGTTGCGCCCCCTCTAACTGAAAATCCAGGATCAGCCCGTGGGCTCGGACCAGATTTGTGACTACCTGTAATGCCTACCTGTAAGTGTGGGTAATAGATGTGAGACCAGTACCAGCTATTTTTCGGAATATTTCCCCGTACGATATGGTCTTCTGGTCGTAGTGGAAAAAATCTCTCCTTTCCTTCCGAGTCCCGTGTATCTCCAGCCTTCACTCCCACCATTTCCAGGCAATGGCCAAGCTGAACATCCTCGCCGATAAATGTTGTGGGTTCGCATATAGAGTTCAGATAGGAAGTAGTAGAATTTCCGTACTGTACAAGAGATCGAACCGCCTGTCGACTAAGCACATAGCCTGCCCCACCACTCATAAAGCCTTGTTTTACAAAAGGTTTAAACCTCCGTCCAAAATAAATGGCTTCATTCTGGTCTTTGTCGCGGAGAAAATGACGTAAATTTTCTACAATGACGTAGGTATCATCGTCGGCTTTCAGGAACCAATCATAATTGTTTAGATCCGAAGAGTAAATATGTAAAAATGCTTCTTTTGTTTTTTGCCATAAATATTCTCGACCTTCCTTGACCGGAAGTTCGACAACCGGAAGATGTTTTGCCTTGACTTGTGTTCCATTAGAGCCCATGAACAAGATTTTGTTGCATCGTTTACCCCACGTGTTTTGTACATGTGTCGCCTTGGATACGACCGTCAGGGGTGACGTCATTATCCAGCAAAGTAGCCGTCCTCCAGAAGAAGAAGAGTCTAGACTGAATAAAATTGCCAACATATACTACAAAGAACTATCAACACACTACATAGAGCGATCAATATGAAATGCATGGGACATTCCACAAAATACATATGTACTACACATACTATACTAGCAAAAAAAGGAACTGTGAATGCCTAAAATGTGTATGACGTAGAACAACAAGGTTTTCAGGGACAATTTATTTGTATTTATTAACAGTTGCATTCCATTTTCCACGTTATGCAATCAATAAGTTCCGTTCAGGAGTGACGTAAACACAGCAGGGGTTAATACTGAGTTCACAAAGTTAATACCTCGTATTTCCACGGTTTGCCTGAATGCAAGCCTGGCAACGTCGACGCATTGAGCCTATCAGACGGTTCAAGAATGCTTGTGGGATGGCATTCCAGATCTGTACCAACGCTGCAGCCAAATTAGCCAACGTCACTGGTTGATTAGGTAATGCCCGTAATCTATGAATGTTTATCCTACTGTGATCAGCACATACACATAAAATATTATATAGGGTGGTCGGGTAGTGCAGCGCATATATAGCGCACTTGCCTTACACCAAGGCGACCAGAGTTCGGTTCCCCGATCGGACGTGAAAAGGTATGGACCGGGACCGTTAAATGTCTAGAGGGAACTGTTTAAAAAAAGTTTTAAGTTTAAACATATTTTTATTGCAATATAATTACAAAAGCATTGGGCACAAGAAATTGCAACTTATGAACGCCCTTTACAAATATAAATAGGAGAGAGAGAGAGATACGAAAAAAATACTTTCATCAGAGTCCACCTTATTGCGGTAATAAAATCATTCTCTCTTACGATTGAACCACATGCATGGGGGGGNNTAGGGTTCGAGCTGTATTGACAGAAGTTTACATTTTGCTTGCGAAATCCCGGCAGTGTTGCCAATTTTTCTACCGCAGTCTGTCATACTCTGGTGATTCAGTGTGGCCGATGGTCCGTGACGGTTGAATTGTCATGTATTCGGTAAACACGCGGAAGAGATATATATGAATATGAAACGACAGGCTCTACACGTTGTGTTTTCACAGCGAGTCTTTCTTGTTTTATGTTTCCTTTTTGTGTTCGCGCTTGTGGCTTATACCGATTTATATAAGGACGCCATGCATGTGATACAGACACGAACACACACAACAACGAGTTGGTCAGCCACTAATAAACCCGACAGGTAGGAAATACCACCCTTTCTCTTATCATATGTGACATTTCCTTTTTTCCCACACTTCACCGGTGCATCACCGTTTTTGCTGGAGATAGGTTATTAATCTGTCTTTATGTATCTCGCGAAAGCCAACTTACACGAGCAATTTTTCTGAAAACGTCCTCGTGCTGAACTTCAAAAACCTTACCCATGGGTCGAGATTTCTCTGTGTTCATCACACAGGATTGATAGATTCTATTATTTTCCGACGCTTCTCAGGTGTATTACCATTTTGCTATGGAAACGATAAACATGCCTTTGCCTGGGGAAATAAAATAAAATAAGAGGAGTGCAATATGTATCATGAAGAGTGTTCAATATGTTATGTAGAGTGTTCAATGTGTTATGTAGAGTGTTCAATGTATTATGTAGTGTGTTCAATGTATTATGTAGTGTGTTCAATGTATTATGTAGTGTGTTCAATGTATTATGTAGTGTGTTCCATGTGTTATGTAGAGTGCTCAATGTGTCATGTAGAGTGTTCAATGTGTTGTGGAGTGGTGTATCTATCAAGTAATGATCAATGTACATAATGTGGAGTGTTCTACCTGTCAAGTAGAGTGATCAAGGTATCATGTGGAGTGTTCTATATAGTATTTAGAACTCTCAATGTACCATGTGGAGTGTTCTATATGTCAAGTAGAGTGTTCAACGTACCATGTGGATGCTCTATGTATTTAAAACTCTCAATGTATATAATGTGGAGTGTGTCGTGTATTATTTAAAACTCTCAATGTATATATTGTGGAGTGTGTCGTGTATTATTTAGAACTACTAATGTATATAATGTGAAGTGTGTCGTGTATTATTTAGAACTACGAATGTATATAATGTGAAGTGTTTCGTGTATAATTTAGAACTCTCAATGTATATAATGTGGAGTGTGTCGTGTATTATTTAGAACTACTAATGGATATAATGTGAAGTGTTTCGTGTATAATTTAGAACTCTCAATGTATTTAATGTGGAGTGTGTCGTGTATTATTTAGAACTACTAATGTATATAATGTGGAGTGTGTGGTGTATTATTTAGAACTACTAATGTATATATCGGTAGTGTGTCGTGTGTTATTTAGAACTACTAATGTAAATAATGTATATAATGTGTCGTGTGTTATTTAGAACTACTAATGTATATAATGTGTCGTGTGTTATTTAGAACTACTAATGTATATAATGTGGAGTGTGTCGTGTATTATTTAGAACTACTAATGTATATAATGTGGAGTGTGTCTTGTATTACGTGGACTGCTCTATGCATTGTGTGAATTGTTTTATGTATCAAATGTACGTCGAGAGTTCTTTGAATTTTGTTGAGGACATTCTAATATGACTACCACACCAAACTGTATATAAGTTCAATAATGCATTCCGTTAGCACAAAATAATAATCCTCCAATATTTCTCAAACACATTTGAAGTACATGCACACTAAATTTAAGGAAAAAAAACATTCAATAACTGATGAAAAAATGATTTTATCTGTCCATTTTCCAAGCTAAATAAAAGTCACAATTCAGGAAAAAAATCACGATTTAAACTTGTAAACTACATAAGGTTGGATGTCCATGGAAATGCATTTGTCTAGAAAAATGTGAGAACATGTTTCAAATCCTGAGAATGATGACATGTATTTTGATTGGATATTTTACAATAACTCATCAAGCTAACAAGACTTTTGATACAAGTCAAGCAATATTACCCGAGTGAGAACCTGTAGTGAATGGTGTACAGGTAAAAATCGCACTTGCTTTGCATGCTTTTTTCAACCTCAGTCAGCCTTGTTCGCTTTGTGCTCAGTTGGGATTTATTGAGGGGAAATATGGGGTGTAATAAGTCCCGAGTGACGAGAAATCATGCAATAACTGACTTACTGCATGCTTCCCAGCTAAAAAAAAAACAGAAAAAATGTTCAGCTGGACAATCTTTTTACCTACCCTACACTGCAGATAATTTACATGTACCTGCCTGAGTGAGTACTAATCAGAACCAGGTAAGTTTGTCTTATTCTCAATAGCCCAGACTGAGTGTATCCTTCATAATGGATACAAGTGTTTTTTCGGATGATGATGATTTGGGGAAATTTCTATTGGAACCATCACAAAGTTATTCTGATATAATGGATATCAGTACACAAAGTCTTTATGAAGGAGTTAGCTTCAAACGGAAAAGAAATCGTAGGCCATACTGACAACCTTACACTGGAGGATGAGAAACGTCTTTGGGAGACAGGTATGCTCGATGTATAGAATGTTGTACTATTTATATGAAGTAAGATGAATGGATGGATGAATGAATGAATTGATTAATTAATTTCACAAATTGATTCATTTATAATTGATTGGTTGTACTGAAACAAAGCAGACTAGGAAATTAAAATTACAATGTAAAAAAAGAATATATCATTAAGGTTGCTCCACACATCGTCATCAGCGTCCATTTTCGTGACGTACTTCCGGAAAAAAGTACAGCTCGGACTCAATTATCTTGATCGAAATGTGCATGTACACCGTGTCGTCATTTCCGTATTGCGTATCGGGCATTCAATATCGTAGTGCAAATTATAGTAACACCTGGGCCGTTTTCGTTTAAACGGTCAAACCGATCGGACCACTGTTGTTCGTTTATTAAATAAGGTCGGACTTAGTAATCTTGAGAAAGCATTGCAATGCCTGCCTACACATTTGCAGGTCCGCCAGGATTTATTCCCGAAATTGTTACATTTATCAACGGTCAAACCGGTTGCTCCGCATAAACGAACAGGCCCCTAGTAAACAATAGTACACGTGCGTGCCGATGATGTGTCAAAACCCGATATCGAGATTTTACCGGGAAATGTATAATCACACGTACTTCAGAAATAAAGCTTTCCAATTCATAGACATAAACAGACTCACTGGAAGACGGAGACATGAGACAAAACAACCTGAAGAAGGTCATATAGGAAACGCATGTAATGCGGACGTACCAACCTCACATGTGCATATCACGTGCTTACACGAGTTCATAAGCTCGAGGTCGTTACGATTTTCGCTGTTGAGGGAGTTTTGCTCTGTCGATTAAATCGTGTTTATAAAATGTAGTCTACTTACTCTGTGAACATAATGTTTTGTAAAATATCAAGATACCTATGAAATGCATGTGTGAGTGCACATGAGAACGGCATACCATGCGATAGCCTCTGGTCACATATGTACCTGACATGTAATTATAAATATACCGTGAGTTAGCGGACTGTGTAATGATGTCCAAAGTGTAACATGACTGAGGGTAATTTGGTTCCATTAAAGAACAATAAATTGATAATTTTTGATTTATTTCCATCATTTTTGTTATATGTAAACAGAGACAACTGTCATTGTGTAAATGTCACCTCTCTGCAAAAAGTTCCGATTTTTTTCAAGGAAGATAACTCTCACCCGGATCGAAGTGATTGTAAAATGTAAATTAAATTAATTATAAATCCCTTGTGTATATTTTGTTCAATTTCCCATTCTATATGTATAGATCTTTGTGACCTGTTTGCGTTAAGCTTGTAGATAATCACTTTTATCCGTAAAAATTCAATAAAAAACACTTTGTGGAACATGTGTTACATATTTTGCGATAAATAAAATATTTGTAGGGTTAATTAGAAATGCTTCTTTTCATTTTATCATTGTTGTTATTGTTCCGAACAATGTCGCACACAAAAAAAAACCCCGGAAAATATTAAAATTGACGAAAATTAATTTTTTTG